CCCTTCCTACATCCTAACCCTCGCCTAATAGTGTGAGAAAGCTTTTCCTGTGCTTTCTCATTCTTTCCATCTCCTCTGTCTAGATTTTTAATGTCTTAAATAATTATGTTTAATTTTATGCCAGTCTTGATGTAAGATTTTGGTCACTAGATCTCTACTACATAGCCAACAAAGCTATGCAATACGCTTATCTCAAATCATCTTAATAGGCTTGTTGTAGCAATCCCACAACATTGCACTGTTAATAGATTTGTCCAGCTTATGCTGTTGTCTATTCTTAAATCATGTTTCTATATATGTAGTTTTTCTGTGCCAAATTATTTAAATAAAAAAAAAGAGATCATATTCTAACCCCTCTCTCCTCCTCACTTTCACCTAATTAGACTATGATACACTGCAGATGATCATCACCAACAAAAACCGCAACAAAAGCAAAGCAAAAAATACAATTACCGTATATACTCGAGTATAAGCCGACCCGAATATAAGCCAAGGTACCTAATTTTACCACAAAAAACTGGGAAAAACTATTGACTCGAGTATAAGCCGAGGGTGGGAACACCAGTGGGAAGAATCGTGCCTCATCATTGGTGTCAGTGGGAGGAATAGTGCCCCATCATTGGTGTCAGTGGGAGGAATAGTGCCCCATCATTGGTGTCAGTGGGAGGAATAGTGCCCCATCATTGGTGTCAGTGGGAGGAATAGCGCCCCATCATTGGTGTCAGTGGGAGGAATAGTGTCCCATCATTGGTATCAGTGGGAGGAATAGTGTCCCATCATTGGTATCAGTGGGAGGAATAGTGCCCCATCATTGGCATCAGTGGCAGGAATAGTGCCCCATCATTAGTATCAGTGGGGGGAATAGCACCCCATTATTGGTGTCAGTGGAATAGTGCCCCATCTTTGGTGTCAGTGGGAGGAATAGTGTCCCATCATTGGTGTCAGTGGGAGGAATAGTGTCCCAACATTGGTGTCAGTGGGAGGAATAGTATCCCATCATTGGTGTCAGTGGGGGGGTGGAGGAATAGTGCCCCATCGTTGGTGTCAGTGGGGGGGAGGAAAAGTGCCCCATCGTTGGTGTCAGTGGGGGGGAGGAATAGTATCCCATGATTGGTGTCAGTGGGGGGTGGAATAGTGCCCCATCATTGGTGTCAGTGGGGAGGGGGGAGGAATAGTGCCCAATCGTTGGTGTCAGTGGGGGGAGGAAAAGTGCCCCATCGTTGGTGTCAGTGAGAGGAATAATGCCCCATCATTGGTATCAGTGACACCAATGATGGGGCACTATTCCTCCCACTGACACTTGCTGACCCCTGTTCCAGTATGGTGCTGCTGCAGCCAGCATATGTGGTTGCAGCAGCACCTAAGCACGGCACACTTACCTGCATCTCCTTCACTCGATTTTCGCGGGGCTGCTCAGCTCCGCCTCCTCGCCGGTGATTGCCCGCCTGTGTGCCTTTCCTGAGCTACAGTTCTGGTGGCCAATCACCGGTGAGAAGGCGGAGCCGAGCAGCCGCGCGAACATCCAGTGGACGAAATACCGAAGGAAGGAGCAGCCGCGCTTCCTGGACCGGATCGTCGTGGGACCGGAGCCAGGTAAGAGACAGCAGCCCCCTGCAGACGTTGACTCGAGTATAAGCCGAGGGGGCCGTTTTTCAGCACAAAAAATGTGCTGAAAAGCTCGGCTTATACTCGAGTATATACAGTAAGTGGGTATCATGTTATTTATTTGATGTTTGACTTTCAATAATTTTCCCTTCCTCTCTCTCTGTAACTAGGAGATGCTCTGTATAGCTAGTCCCACCCTCTTTTCAGTGTGCCTTTAGTTTCTGCTCTGAGTACATGTAATTGCTGGAGCTATAAATGTTATGATTTTTTTTACCTATCTAATGTTCATCTGTGAAGATCTGCACACTTTTTGGATTAAAGCTTTGTACGATCATCAAGATGTCATTTGGATTAGGTCCCTGTCTGTTAATCCTACTGGGATGGTAAGTTACAGCTATCCTTCCTCAACTGTCACAGTTATAGAGATCACACGTTTGCAATGCTTATATTGGAGATGCAGAACAGTGGGGACCTCATATGCAGGGGGTACTGCAGTGCACAAAAGTAAACAAAAACATAAGATTTGAACAGGCACTGCAGAAAAACAACTGCTGGAGTAGTTGTCAGTACCAATGTCACTGTCCATTTCACAAACAACAAATACAAAATTGTAACCTTGTACTTTGATAGTTTGCCAACAAAAGCATATTGACCATATTGCATAGGACTCAATGATATCATCACATATGGAATTAGGAGTTTTATACAGGTCCACAGACTGAAGAGTCTGCTCATTTATAGGAATTAATAAAATGGCTAAATCATTTACTTGCAACTCATTAGAGATTTTGCATATGCTGCTAAGAACATTTGAAACATAAAATAACTTGAAAGGAAAGGCACATGCTTAACTAACAAAGTGTGTGGCAAAGGGTCAGATCAGTCACACAAACAGTAACTGAGTGCAATGGCACTTCACACACTGCTCTTTGCTTTATTTAGGTTTAATTATTACTGATACATCTTGCAAACTGTGTTAAACATTATACAGCATATACAAGACTATCTTTTCTATCCCAGATGTACACTGTATAAACAATGGTACAGTACAATAATATGTTGCAAATTATATTAATGATTATTTTACAGAAGGGCACATTTAAGTTTCTATCCTGTATGTAGATAAAGGCAACAAAATGCTGGTCACATTGTAATGGGTCTACATTTCTTTATTCTGACATATCTATGAATGTATGAAAGACTGTTGCTTTAACCACTTGCCCTCCAGAGGATTTACCCCCCTTCCTGACCAGGCCATTTTTTGTTTCAGGGCGCTGCATTATTTTAACTGACAATTGCGCTGTCATGCAACGCTGCACCCAAATGAAAGTTCCGTCCTTTTTTCCCCCCACAAATTGAGCTTTCTTTTTGTGGTATTTGATCGCTTTTTCCTTTTTTTTTGCACTTTAAAAAAATGCCGACAATTTTGATTTAAAAAAAAACCCAGTATTTTTGACTTTTTGCTATTAAATATGTCCAGTAAAAAAAATTTCGGCATAACTTTAGGCCAAAATGTATTTTACAACATGTCTGCTACAAAAAATTCCCAATATGTGTAAATTAATTGGTTTACTGTGTGCTGGGTGTGTTTTACTACGGGGACTGTATCTGTTTGCTTCACTGTAAGCACGAGCTGATGGGGAGGACTGTTTTGTTTACTAACAGTTCTCCCCCCCCCCATCAGAGATCCTCTGCAATCACCGAGCGCCGGCAAGTAAACACCGGCTGGGACCCAGTGATGACAGCCATGGCCGTGAATGGCAGTGCAGGTAGGGTGTGCACTCTTCCCGCGTGCGCCCCCTACCTGGAAATACAGTTAGTTAGTGTCAATGTGTTTAGGTAAAAAAACAATACACAAAATACACACTATTATTTCTGGGCTGTACTACGAGCACAAACAACAAATAAAATACACATGTATGGTATCGCTGCAATCGTCAAGAGCTGGAAAATTTATTTTGGGTTGTTCTGTGGTGGTAGGTTATGGTAGTAACAAGAAACACACAGCTAAATTTAGGAAAAATATTTTTTTTTACTATTTTGGGCCAGTTTTCCTTTGATAATAAAAAAAAAAAAATCAGGAGCTATCCATTACCATTTACCACCAAATGAAAGCCCAATTTGTCCTGAAAGAAATGCAGTATAATCCGCCCAGATGTACAAAGTAGTTGTGATGATATGAACGGTTTTACTAACACATGTCAACATTGCAAAATTGTGCTTAGGCATTAAGATTTGTTTTACCCTTAGGCGTGAAGGGGTTAACTTAACACAACTACTGTATTTGATTAATAAACTTTCCTAAACCTTAGTGATATTTTTACTTATGTTGTGATGCAAGCTAACCTGTAATACAAGAAAATAATCCGTTGTCATATAATATACAAAAGACTTTTCAGAATAACATTCTATCCATATCAGAATTTTAGCAACAATCTGGGAAATTAACTAAGTTTCCTATGCCGATATGACAGAGCAGATAGCAGACCTGTTTTGGCTCTATCTGTGGCAGTTATCAAAAAAGCGCTCAAGTCTGCATCTATTTAATTAAGGGAATATGGCAGTTTTTGATATAGCAAACTGCAGCAGATTCCCACCAGGTGCTACCTTGTCTTAGGGGATGTGATCGGTCTCTCTCTGTGCGTGCAGTGATTACACAGCACAAGCAGAGATGGTTAACGTCCTCCTCCTCCCTCCACTGTGAGACAAGCAGGAGGCAGGGACAGCTGTGAGATCAGAGCATGGAGCTCTGTTCTCTGTTTTGTATCCTCTGTCTTTCACAGCTACAGAACAAAGAATGGATTGCTCCTAAATACCCAAGTGGTTTGCACCCCTTTTGTTAGTTGAGAGTAGCATCTGCTCCATGTTCTAAATTTAGAAGAGCTGTGCAAGCTTGTGCTTGCACAACTCTGTTTATTCTCCCCATATAGTGATGGGTCCCTTCACAATTAAGATTATTACTTAATTACATGTTCAAAAGAGATTTATCCTGCAATTTTAGTTGGCTTGCAACCCCATGGACCTTGTAGAAGCAGCTGAACCATGTTCTAAAAAAAATGCAACTACTAGCTCATTACCAACAACTATTCCAGTGGGGCAAGTGGCAGCACAAGGTTGGTATGTAGAAAAAAACTATTGCGAATCTCTATACATCCTCAGCTAAACTTTGGAAGTGTCACTGTTAACTCTACACAGGCTCCGAAATCCATAAAGAATGTTATCTTTAGTGTCAAGCATGTAATTAGCATCTGATGGGTAGGAAATGAATAAAATGTACATAAATTCAATTACTGCTTCACACATAGGTTAATCATCCTAAAACCATGGTTCTACAAATTATGCACAACCTCAGACATTAAACACTCCTGGAAAGTAAAAGTGTTACAATGACTTACCATAATGCATGTAACAGTTTCCTTTGGTGGGATCCAGCTGTATTGCTTTTAAAAAGTAACGCTCAGCTTCACTTTTACGTCCCTGAAAACAAAATTGCGAATCCTTTAGAATAACAAACTCTTTGTTTACAAACATTTATTATAAATGGTACATAAGTTTCTTACAAAAGAATAGTATGTACAGTCAATAAGACTGTATATAGGAAAGACAAAAAGTCAGCATTACATGTCTAATGTATCATAAGGATGAACCAAAAATAATGTTTTTTTTTTTTAAATTTTTCAAACAGTTAAAGAGGGATAGGAAAAAAAAAATTAAGAAATTATGTAATATTAGCTCTCAGAAAGAGTGGATACACAAAAGGCACTAATGAATCATAAAATAATACCAATGTCTAATAACACACATCTATTCAATAGAGTTAGGCAAGTATAGAGCAATCTACAAACTTTTTCCTTAGGTTCACATTCAAAAGAGTTAAAGGAACCACTTTCCAAACACCACAAAAGTTTAGATGCAAGCGACTGAAAAGCACAAAATGCAGCACATATGCCAGATATTAAGGGTTAAAGGAGATATATCATGGCATCATATTTCTGATTGACATGAATGACAAACCCCTTAGTTGTAACGCTCTGAACAAAATAGTTCCTATTTGTCAACATTAGGCCCCTTTCACACAGGTATTCTATTTGCCCGTTTTTTCATCCATCCATCTATGAAAAAAAGGATGCAAAAAGATCATCTGTTAACATCCACATTCGTCAACATCTGTTCTTGATCAAAGTTCTATTTTTGTTCTGTTAAAAAAAACAAAGAAAAAGCGGATGTAAATGGACAAACGGTCCATTTTTGCATTGGCAGTGGATTTAAAAAACTAATGTAAACACTAATTAAAAACTGATGTAAAAGACTATTGTAAATGGAATCCGTTTTTTCTTTGAAAAAACATGACTGAACTGAAGAGACAAATGGAACACCAGTGTGAAAGGACTCAAAATAAATGAAATATTTAGCTGCTGGACTAGTACAAATACATTCAGTGAAAGCAATACTGAAATGATATTATATACACAATATTGAAAGGCATATTATATTTTAATGTAAACACCCATAGGCAACACAGTGCTCAGACTCTGCTGTTCATAGAAAGTAAAGAGAACAAGAGCTATGATTTCAGTGCTTCTGTTGTGAACTTCGAAGATGGATTTCTACACACTGACTATAGCTAGTGAGGTCAGTGAGGACTAATTTAAAGTGATTTTGACACACAGCTCGGAATATCAGATAAGGTACTGTATTACTGTTCTTCATCTTAACTTTCCAAACCTATCTGCAGTAACTGCCTTTTAATCCTGTTTAGATTAATTCAAGGCACACTTGGTAATAAGAAAAACAACACACACACCACTTAAAAAAGGAATATTTTTCACCAGCAGTTTCAGGGATGTTTGAATCTAAGAATAAAGATCTCAATCCAAATTTTTTTTTCTTTAAGTTCTGGATAGACAAGTGTTGCTAACTTATAACATGATTCTGTTGCGGAAGGAGAAAGGAGCACTAGACATCTAAATGTACTTATAGTTCTGGTTAGGTATATTTTGATGGTACATGTGAGTTTGCAGGCAGCTTTCTGATCTTATGTGAATCTCTAGAGCGGTCCTTGGGCAAACATTAATATAGGATAAAAGATGAGAGCGCAAATCCACTGGTATGTGTCCAGAATAAACTTTATTGGTTGTAATACTCAATAAAAAACAAAGAATTTTGGAGAAGTCCCCCTTAGGACTGGAATATCCTGTATACAGTGAAAACTGCCTAAGAGAGCATTTTCCTCAGTTTGGACAGATGTCCTTGTGCTTCCTATTGTGCCCATAAAAAGGGAAGAAGAGGGAAATCTTAAAATAAAGACAGGGGTTTTAATGCAGGCATTATAAGGGCCTAAATCTATTTATAGGTTATTAAACAGCAACTCCAGGCAAGAAGTCAAGATATGAACTGCTGTGCTATCTTGGAAGCATGATCATTTTTATTACCCTATTCACATGAGGTTATCAGCTCCATACCCCATACAGGTCTGTCTTTTGCCAGCACAGGGATGCATAAGTGAACGGACACAGCTGTTATGTCCCTATATGACATGAGGGTGCAGGTCCCCCAAACGCACACAGGGTGAGTTTCCACATGCATCTACATGTCATCTAGGGACACAGTTGCTGCATCCATTGACCATACAGTATGTCCCAATAGACTAAAATCGGATGCCGGCAAGGGGATGCACACAGCAACGTTGGGCATGGCGCTAATCATCCTGTGTGAACGGGGCCTGTGTTAGAAAGGCTACGCAATTTACCTTTACTTCAAATTTAATTTATAATCCATTAGAACCAATAACTTATGAGAGTTCAAGTTTTAAAAGAAATATGCTCTTTTCATGAACAACATGTTGATGTGCACAGCAAAAATATTCAACACACATGTTAAATCTGCCAAACATGTAAGTCTTATGCCTCCATTTAGTGGTTTAATAAACAGGCCAACCCATAGCAGAGACCACTGCAAGTACAGGGTTATCATGCCAGAAAAGTCAGAGTGGCTGGATAAGTGTTATTGCAATAAAGTGAACATATTTCTTCTAGAAGCTGTTAAATACAGAAGTTAAAGATTCAGCTGCTCAAGTAACCAAAGATGCCTGGTCATAGCCAAAAGATATTATAGGTGCATACTTTTAATTTTTAAAGTAAACCTGTCAGCAGTTAGAAGAAAAGCAAGTAACACTTTCTCTGTATAGCAAGCACTAGCCAATACTCCACCCAACCTGCACAACACTTCCAAGTTTCTCCATAATGTATAAATCCAAAAATCTTATACAAAAACACACTTCTTGAAAGAAAGTATTTGCGCACAGCTAGGTACTACACTTTGCTCCCCATGTAACAGTGACAGGGCATGGTGATTGGCCACTCCAACATTGAGCACTGCATAGAAGCATTAAGAAAAGGTGGGGGGGATATTTTAGTGCACCAAATTACAGCTTTTTTTTGAGTAGTAGTGCTCAAAAAAAAGAAAAAAGCAGCTTTGCTTTTGCTGCAATACTCCTCCCTGTTCCCGTGGTACGTCCACTAGTCTTGCAAGTTTAATAATGTTGTGATGCCAGGGTGTTGAGGACCCACCTTTTGGTGGTAGTTTTTTAATGCCATCCAGGCCTCAAAGTACAGCTGGACTAAATGGCACTTACACATCATTTTATAAGCCCCTTTCAGTACAGGAAAAAGGACCACGGCAGGGAATGGAGGGCAAAAATAGGAGAGACAGCTTCGTGCTCAACCTGGAATTGAGCTTTAAGCACTCGCAGGCTGTATTGTTCCTGCTCCTTTTCATCAACAGGGAACAAGCTGTATAACAGCAACAACAATTGCATGGATATCCTGTACACATTCAAACATTTCAAAATTCTCAGAAATAATTGTAGGAAAAGTCAAATACATTTCAATTTCACTCCTTCATATGTAGGCCCCTGTAACCTGAAATCCTATTAATCACATTTCTAAGCCATCAAACCATTAAAATGTTTGGCCAGCACAAACAAAAGCCAGGTGTCTAAATTGCATATGGATAGTTTTGTACAGGAAAGTGTGCCAAAACTGACAAACAATGTAAAAATAATGAAACAACAAAGCCAAACACAAGGAAAAATGAATGCCTTAAATAAAATCTTTTCCTATGCTGTTTACAAAAATAGCTTATAACTATTTCAGAATATATAACAACTTGCACATTTGGAAAGGCACCATTAATGCAGAAAGATACTGTATACAGGGGAGGACTGACCATTTGGAAACTCGGGCACTGCACGAGGGCCCGGGGTCAGTAGGGGGCCCCATGAGATGCCCCTGGTACCTTTTTCATAGGCTTTTTTGAGTTTGGGCAAGGACACAGGGGCCCCATGATCCCCTATTGCCCGGGGGCCCCATGAGTTTTCAGTCCGCCCCTGACTGTATATCAAGGTTTTAGAGCAGCATGTGCTTCAATCCAGATGATGTCTTTCAGGCAAGGCCTTGCATATTTCAGCAGGACAATGCTATACCACATATTGCATCTATGCCAACAGCATGGCTTCGTAGTACACGAGTCCTCCTACTATAAAAGCGGCCCAGTCCCTTGTCACGCAGGACTTTTGACAGTTCTTTTCTGACCCCCATGGCTCAGTATCTAGCCTGGTCAGTGCTTCCACGTAAGAGCTAACAAACTCATCGACAATTTATATACTGACACGAATTGCAATTTAAAAAGCCACAGATGTGGGACATTAACCTCTAATTGGCATTTTAACACGTGTATGTCACCCTGTGTGTCTGTACCAAGGCCAAACATTCCAGGGTATGTAACTTTTGATCATGGCCATTGGGTGATTTCTGTTATCATTATGATTTAAAAAGGAGCCAAACAACCATTTGATAATAAATGGTTTCATATGGTCATCATCCTTCAATAAAAGATAATTTTTTGGCATGGTCAGTCATATTTGCAATATCAATGCCAACATTTCACAATTTCTGCCAGGGTATGCAAACTTTTGAGCACAACTGTATAGGATGATAACTCCAACTTTAAAGGATAGGTTCACCTTTGGAACATGTTACACTCATATTTACAGTGTAACATGTTCCAGATCGTACCCCCGCTCACCCCCCTCATCCCTTCCCCTGTGACAGCAAGTGGGGAATCCTCTCCCCCCACAGCTGCTGTCACAATTGGTGCAGTTGTCCAGGTCTCTGCCCATACAGTTATGTCATTCATTCACAGGGATCTGTAAATTAATAAACTACAAGTCCCATCTGCGATCCACAGCAGATGGCTTGTAGTTCTCAATGGACTGATTAGCACCCTTGTAGTCCATTAACACCTCCCCTAGCTTTCAAATTGACAGCCCGTCCCAAAGTGTGGACAAGAAAGCTGGAGGAAGTGTCTACAGTAACCTGACATTGTACCTGCGATTCACTGATTTGGGTACAATGATTGGCAGTCTCCTGCAGGGAAAAAAATAAATGCACATTTTTTCCTGCAAAAATGTGAGCTTT